TTTGAGGCCCAGGTCTGGGACAGTCGGATTGTAGCATCTTGCATCGTCACAACCAGGACACCGCGGCCCTGAGTTCTCCAGCTCGTGCTGCACTCCATCTGGAGGTTCTTACCAAAGCAGGTCTGAGTAAGAAAATTCTCAGAGACACAGCACAACTCAGACAGATGGGGTGGCTGGGGTCGGGGAGCATTGCAGAGGGTGGGGCATCTCAGGGTGCTGGGCAGTCACACCTCAGCCGCTGCACCTGCACTGGAGAGCGAGGGCTCCTGCACACACAGCACGGAAAGCCTGACTTTGAGCAACTGGAGCCAGGGAGGGGCCCCTCTGCTGTTGCGTTTGGAGCTCCCACAGAAGGAACCACTGATGCAGAGCAGACAATAGGGTGACAGGGAGTGTGTGGGCATGGGTGACCAAGAGAATGAAAGAAGAGACTGTGAAAGGCATGAAACATTGCCCTAGATCCCCAGCCATAGTGTAGGGGGCCTGGAAGTGAATATGGGCAACCCATTGCATTTATTTGTCCTTGGTGAATTCACATAGAAACCAGTGATCGCACAAGGAGTGCACGGTGGCTTCTGTTATATGGACTTGGCCATGGCTGTGTAACTTACTTAGGCTGTTTTGCATAGATTTGCCTAATTGGAAGCCCATTTCTCCGCAGGGAAGGGAATTTTCTAGGCCTCTGGAGGGTAGGTGGGAATCTGGGCTACCTGTGGGCGACAACATAATGCAGATGACGTAAACAAGGAGTGCCTACTGTAGGCTTCGCCTGGGCGTGGCTCCAGAACTAGGGCACTGCCAGGCAGGACAGACACACACTGTCCCTGTAGCTTCTGCGTGGCCACGTGTGAAGGGAAGTAGATTTTGAATTTCCAGGTCAAATTTGGGGTGCTGGCACTTTTATTTCTGGAGAGATTTTTCAGCAATAGAGCTGGGTAGACTGTCCAGCCAACAGAATGATAATGAGAACTTTTTTTAATTTTAAAATTAACATTTGTGTGAGTTTCCTCTTGCTGGTGTAACAAACTGTCACAAAGTTAGTAGCTTAAGGTTACAACAGAGTTATTATCTTGTGGTTCTGGAGGTCAGAAGACGGAGAGATTCTGAAAACCATGGTGTCATCAGGCTGCATGCCGTCTGGAGACTTCAGCGCGGGGCCGGGGCCGGGGCCGGGGCCGGGGCCGGGGCTGGGGCCGGGGGAGTCTTCCCTGTCTTCTCCAGTTTTTGGAGGCTTCCTGCATTCCTTGACTTGTGGCTTCTCCCTCCATCCTCACAGGCTGTCACATCCTCCCCGCCCCTTGCTTCCTCATCTCTCTGGCACTGACACGCCCACTCCCTCCGATAAGGACTCTTAGAACCTCACTGGACCTATCCCCCCCGCCCCATCACAAGATCCTTAATTATTCACACTAGCAAGACCCCTTTGGCATGCAAAGTAGCATATTCACAGGTTCTAGGGACGAGGATCTGAACACCTGTGTGGGGGAGGGCTTGATTGTGTCTACCGTGATGTTGTAAATGGCCTTGAAAAAGAGATCTTATTGCTGTTGAGATCTTATAATTTTAGACTGACAGAAAAGTTATGAAGATACACAGTGCAGAGGGTTGGGAGTCTTTTTAGAACAGTTCCCCTCCCCATCTCTGGTTCAGGTGGTGCAAGGGTTTTCCACAGCAAAAATGGTCTGAAAACCATCTGTGAGCCACTTTGGGTTCTTTGGAGGAAAGATGCTTTTGAATGAGTGCAGGTTGTCTGGGACATCGCCGGCCTCCTCCCGAGGAAAGCCGCGGGCCCGCCTCTGCCTTCCCAGGGGACCCCTGGGCTGGGCCCCCAGGAGGCAGTCCCAGGCCTCGTGACCATCATTGCCCCATGCAGGCAGGTGAAGCTAGTGCAGCGTCTCTTCCTGCTGAGAAACACACCCTATGCCAGGAAGTCCCCGTACGGCTCATCTCCTCCTCATTTCCCTCAGCTGCTGCCTCGGGCACTTCCAGGTAATTGTCACCCATAGCATGCCAGGCAGGCGGGAACCTGAGTCCACTGTCCTGAGGAATGTTCCAGAGAGCTCCCTCCAGCCAGCCCCTAAGAACCTCCCTCTTCCTGTTGCGGTTGGGTCTGGCTCTGGAATCAGCCATGCCTGTCAGTGAGCTGAGGCTCCTGGTGGGCTTTAGCAGACACACCCATGCCACACACTGAGTCTGGACTCTCTTGCTGCAAGCTGGGAATTACTCAAAGCCTGATGCAGACAAGTCCAAGGGACATAAGAGCCGGCTTGAAGGCTAAATCTGGGATAATCCAAGCATCAAAGTAAACAGAGTAACCATTTATATTGCATGGGATAAAGAATCCATGAAGTCACACTTACATAACTTACTTTAGCAAGTAAGTAAGCAAATGCTCTTGCTACAACAAACAAAAACACTCCATCAGAGATGCGCCAGCTGACATGCTGCAATAGGTCTGGAGTGAGGCCACCCATTTCCACTCTGTAAAAAGCATCATACAGGATGGGTGGGCATTCCAGGTTCAGAAACATTGGTTTGCCTCCCAAAGTAGAGCAGTCATGGAAGTTGCAGAAAAAGGAGATGAACTAGGGGCTGGCGTTGTGGCGTCATGGGTTAAGCCACCACCTGCAAGGCTGGCATCCCATATGGATGCTGGATTGAGTTCTGGCAGCTCCAGCTCTGATCCAGCTGCCTGCTGATGTGCCTGGGAAAGTAGCAGAGGCCCCTGCCACCACATGGGAGACCTGGATAAAGTTCCTGGCTCCTGGCTTCAGCCTGGCCCAGCACTAGTGTTTGCAGTCATTTGGGGGAGTGAACCAGCTGATGGTTTACTCTCTGTATTTCCTTCTCTCTCTCTGTAACTCTACCTTTCAAATAAATAAATTAATCTTAAAAAAAAAGAAGAAGAGCTGAGCTATCTGTTTCAGTCATTCATCATTTACTGAAGTCTGCATTATGTCAGGTGACATACAAGGCAGGAACTTCCTGTTCATGTAGAACTCAGTGTCTAGTGGTTACTTAGAGTCCACCACAGGAGGATTCTGGGAATCTAGGGCCTGGAAGAAAGAGGAGGACTTGACCAGGTAGACTGGGGAGAGAAGGGCATTCAAGACCAAGGCCAACACAAAGATGTGGAGGTTCGGAAATGTTTGACTCCCTTCCAGAATTGCTGTGCAATGGCTTGGCATGGCTGGTGCAAAGGCAGGCAGGGCCTGAGGGTGGCCAGGCTACAGAGCTCAGATTGCATTGTGCAGGTGTTGGGCATGCAGTAGGGTTGTAGCAGAGACAAGCAGTGTTCAGTACTGCCTATGCATGCACACCACGTGCCAGGATCTGGGCCAGGAGGCTCCATCCACAAGCCTCGCCATCCCCAGCACAGCCATGCTGTACAGAGGAGAAAACAGTTCCACCCAAGATCACACTGCTAGGAGCTGGGAATCCAGCTGGCTCGAAAGTACACTTCCCAGTCCTCAGCTGAGCCCTCGCTCGTAGCTTTGCAGCCAGCCAGTAGCCTTGGCCTCATCTGGGAGCCTGTGAGAAACACAGCCTCGGCCCCACCCCAGAGCAATGAACTCGGAGACCAGGAGATCTGCATGTACCTTGAAACCTGAGGAGTGCTGGTCTGGAGGGGCTCCCTGATGCCTCCTGGAAAGATGGATTGTGATGGGGGCCGTGGGAGGGGTCAACATGACCGCATAGAAGACAGTGTGCCCCCTGCGAGAGGAGGTGGGAGCTGGTGGCACTGGCACTGCTGTGTGCTGCAGCATCTCCGCCACCTCCACATCCTGCTGCTCCCCCTGGAGCACACGCAGAACCAGCGTGGTGATGTCACTCATCCACGGCCAGTAGGTCTGGGCTCAGAGCTCTGTGGACCAGATGGTTAGGCCTGCACCTGGAGCCACGAGGTTGCCCGTGACCACTCAGCTCCCTGTGACTCTGGCTTCTCCATCTGGACACTGGGCTTGCATCCACAGGCCCTCTCCCCTTCCCTGACCAATCTGGCCGCCACCTGTGCTCAGCCTCTTCCCACTGAGTCACTGTAGGGCACCGGTGAGTAAAGCAGGTGTTGCAGCTGAAAGTGGGAGGTGAGTGTGGAAGCCCACACAGCGGACAGGCCACACTTTCCTGCAAATGCCTGGAGCATCACTCATCATTGGAATAAAGAGGACCAATAGCCCATAGCTGCTGCTACTGTCTTCATTTTAGAAAAAAAAAAAAAGAAGAAGAAAGAAACGGCCTACAATAACATTAGCTGCTATTCAACTGGAGAGCGTTCATTTGTTCTGGGGAGTTTTAGTTCAATTGAGAGCCAGCCTCACACCAAATGACGGTGGAATTCTGCTGAGCTTCAGCAATCGCTGACCAGCTGCTCATGGTCCAGGACTCAGTCTTAGCCCCCAGAGCAGCCTGGATTTGGTCTTTTTCTCGTGGTTCGTGATACCGTGGTACTGGCCGTGTTTTGGCCATCAGTTTGCCCAGACGAATACCACTCTGCGTTTCTTTTCCCTAGTTAGGGTTGTGTCTCTGAGGATTCAAGAGTGAAATAGCAATGAATTTCCATCAAAGGCATTTCAATTGCCATGGGGGAAATAACCTCCAAGCCATTCTGATAGTCTCATGACTCAGTCTTAATTAATATTAATTACTAACAGTTATTGATGTTCCCTCCCTAAAAATTTCCACTGCCATTAAGTTGTCCCAAAATCATCTGGGAAAAAGGGAGAGGCCTGGCAGTGCTCCCTTTGTTCTGTTTTATTTATTTATTTGTTTATTTATTTATTTTCTAATACGTGAAAGGCAGGAAGACAGAAAGAGAGCAAGAGAGAGAGCAAGAGAGAGAGAGAGAAAAAGAGAGAGAGAGAGATACTTTCATCTGCTCATTCACTCTCCAGATGACTGTAATAGCCAAGGCTGGACCAGCCCAAACCAGAAGCCCAGAACTCAATCCAGGTCTCCCATTAGGGTAGCAGGGACACAGGCACCTGAGCCATCTTCTGCCGCCTCCCAGAATGGAGCTGAATCAGAAATGGAGTAGCTTGGGGCCAGCACCGTGGCTCACTTGGTTAATCCTCCACCTGTGGCGCCGGCATCCCATATGGGCACCGGGTTCTAGTCTCAGCTGCTCCTCTTCCAGTCCAGCTCTCTGCTGTGGCTCAAGAAGGCAGTGGAGGATGACCCGGGTGCTTGGGCGCCTGCACCCACGTGGGAGACCAGGAGGAAGCACCTGGCTCCTGACTTCAAAACAGCATAGCTCCGGCCATGGTCTCTCTCACTGTCTAACTCTATCAAAAAAATTAAAAAAAAAAAAAAAGAAAGAAAGAAAGAAATGGAACTGGAACTCTAATCTGCATTCCAATATGGGTTACTGGAGTCCTAAGTGGCAGCTAAGCCTACTGCATCACAATGCCTGCCCCACTATAGTTCCTTTTTTTGTGTCTTTCTTCTCCCAAGTCCTTTGAGAGCGAAGACTCTCGAATCCCACTGACCAACCCAGCCCAAAAGTCAGTTCGGTGAATTGATTCAGAGGGGCACGCATTCCCATTGGAAGTCTCTGGCTGGTTTCAGCTGTATGAATCCTGGCCCCAGGAAAGCTGAGAGTGAGCCAGCCAGCTGTGTGGCATTGACCACCAAGCCATCCAATGATCCTTTCTGCTCTCATCTGCTTGGCAAAGGAGCCAGCAGCAAGCAAACACTGAGATCCTCTGGGAAGTGGAAGATGCAGGATAATGGGCAGTCAGGATCCCCAGCAGGCCCCAGCTTCACCAAACCACTGAAAGGATGAGGCTCAGCAATCGGAAGTCAGCTGATCATCCCAGGGCATGATGGGACCAGAGGAGAGAGGAACATGGGAGCCAGTGGCTAGTCCAGGCGGAGTTCAGACTCACACAGGGCAGTTTGTAGGTAGGTTCTGAGGCCTGGGTGTTTCTGGATTGTTATGTTCTTTGTTGCTATAACCAGGGAGAATTTGTGAGAACAGAGAAGAAAGGTGTGTGCTTGGTGAGCAGTGATAGGTGGGGTGGTTAGCCATGTCTTGGCCTGATTCCTCTGAACTAGTGGGGGCTCCCCAGCCTGGGAATGTTCTGGACAAAATCCAAAGACCCCTGCTCAGCTTCAGACAGGCGTTCCCTCTAGGGTCAGGACCAACAGCTGGTGCCCTATCACCATGGCAACTCAGGGCCCCTGCACCACCCTTTTCCATTTCCTGTTGAACCCCCTCTCCATCAGCCAAGTTGATAAGCAAAACTGCCTTTAGTCTCTGGCACCCCTGTAATCAGCACCCTGGATTTCTACCACCTTGGAGCCCAGGTAGCCCTCCCTGAACCTCATTGTTCTTATCTGAAAAGCGAGGTTAGTGCAAACTAGGATTGGACATTGCAGACAGTTTGCTTAGCACCTCAGAAACACGTGGGTAACAGCCAAAGCTGGAGGCTCTCTCTACTCAAGTTATTATGTCACCACCCACTCAGAGCTGGCTGGGGGAAGAACAGGTGGTGGCCTGCCTGACGTCTTTAAGGGTTAGGATCAGGAATCCTGAACAAGGAGGAGCCAGGAGGATGTGCAGATAAAAGTGGCCTCTGCCCCTTCCTGGCTGCGGTTCCCTTTGCTTTTAGAAAAATTTATGGTGTGAGGAGGGTCACAGAGTGTGGACTCCATACCAACAGTGGAGTAGCCAGCAGTAGAGGTGACCCCAGCGCTGAAGGACCCACATCAGGGGACCCCCCCTCCTGGGCAACTACCATTCATCATCACATGTGGGCAAGTGCTGTAGCTTGCTGCTCTTCCAACCCTGGGCACGTCGTGTCTAGCCCCCAGAGATTTGTCCAAGTCCTACCCACTGTGAATATGACTGCATCTGGAGCTGGGGTCTTGGCAGGTGTGATTCAGTTAAGACTCTTGAGACGAGTTCATTCAGGACTTAGAGTGGGCCCTCATCCAATGGCTCATGTCAACATCACAGACAGACTCTTGAAGCCTAGAGTCACAAAGAGAAGGCCACGTGAAGACAAAGGCAGACTCTGCAGTGAGGCAGCAACAAGCCAAAGAATACCCTGGAGCGCCAGCACCCACCAGAAGCTGAAGGGAGGCATGGACCAGCATCTCCCTCAGAGACCTCAGAAGGGACAAATCCTGCCACACCTTGAACCTGCAGAACGGCACAAGGGCCAATGTCTTGTGGTTTTTTTGTTTGTTTTTTTTTGTTGTTGTTGTGGTTTTTTGTTTTTTGTTTTGTTTTGTTTTGTTTTGTTTTTGACAGGCAGAGTGGACAGTGAGAGAGAGACAGAGAGAAAGGTCTTCCTTTGCCATTGGTTCACCCTCCAATGGCCGCCGCGGCCAGCACGCTGCAGCCGACACACCGCGCTGATCCGATGGCAGGAGCCAGGCACTTATCCTGGTCTCCCATGGGGTGCAGGGCCCAAGCACTTGGGCCATCCTCCACTGCACTCCCCTGCCACAGCACAGAGCTGGCCTGGAAGAGGGGCAACCGGGACAGAATCCGGCACCCCAACCGGGACTAGAACCCGGTGTGCCGGCGCTGCAAGGCAGAGGATTAGCCTAGTGAGCCGCGGCGTCGGCCCAATGTCTTGTTTTAAACTGGCAAGTTTGAGTCCACTTATTCCGGCCCCGTAAGACACAGGTGCAGGCCTGATGTGCACAGCAGGACTTGTCACAGCTGCTTCTTTTTTAACCCCTGGAGACCCCATGTAGACCCCTTACTTCAGCCGAGAATTTGCAAGCGTCTCCTGGAACAGCCAACTCCAGCGCATGTGAATCCGCTCAGCTGTGTGCTTGATTTCTTTCCCTTCCCTCGCTTGTTGGTCTCGCTCTCTCGTTTTGTATGAATACAGGAAGAGAACAGGAAGATATATTAAAGGAAAGAGAAATAAGAAGTGGTAACTCTAAAGGGAAGCTAATTTCTGCCCCAGATCAAAACTGTGCAGAAGTCACAGTGTTCAAATGTGTCCACATCGCCCCAAAGCTCCTCGCTGTGGAGTGGACCTGCCACATTCCTGCCCCGGAGCCTCGCTCTGATGCAATGGCGCTGGGAGAACTGCTGGCATGCTGCAACACTTTGTAATTTCGTACAAAAGCCATCCAGGGATTGCTGCAATTTTTTTCAAACCTGGAAACAGAAAAATATGAAATTTATTTCATTGGTGAATTGGCACAACTAGTTGGTGCCTCCCAGGGGCAAGTCAGTGAGGCATACCATTTGGATGTTATTTCTAAGGGCCTGGGATTAAAAATAAGGCCTTCAGAAAAGGAGAAAAGATGGCTCTTGGGCAAATCTTTTTCTCTGGGGCCAGAGTCCTGAACACTGGACCTATGGACATTCTGATACGAACGTGTGTGCATGTGTTGTCTTGTGCATTGTAGATGCTTAGCAGCACCCCAGCCTCTCCACCTAACATCAACTGTCTACCCCTCTTCTTGTGCCTAGCTGTGAAAAACCAAGAATGCTTCCCGACACTCCCAGCGTCCCCTGGGGGCCGTGTGCAGAGCTGGCCCTTGTTAAGAAGCCTGGCTCCAGGGACAGAAGCTGTGGGAGCAGCAGCTGAGGGCTGTTGTTGTTTTGCTTTGCTTTTCTCTACAGACATCAGTGAACTGCAGCAATCAGGAACACGCAATCACTTTTGGGCCCAACTAACAGAGGGAAGCTCAGAGCATGGAGAAACATTATCTTCAATAGAAACCCGAAGAAAGTAGAATCTCCAAGAGACCAAGCGCTGCAAGCAAGTGCAGTGGAACATGCTGAGAACAGAGCAGCAGGGCCCCACGAGAAAAGCAAAGAGCAGAAGCCCTGAAGAACCTGATGGAAGCCAATAACAGCTGCCTTGCTCCCCTTCACCAGCAATTGGTCAATGGGTGGACATGTAACCATTCCTGGCCAATGGGATGTAAATGGGTACTCTCCCAAGGGATCCTGGGAAACATTTTCTTCCCTAAGGAGGTCTTTGGGAAGAAAGTACCCTTTCTGGTCTCTTTTTCCCTACCCTTCCTATAGCAGGACGACAGGCCTGGAGCTGCCACAGTCATTTTGCAACCAAGAGACAATAGCCATAAGTCAAAAGCTATTGGAAGATGAGAAGTGCAGGAAAAGTCTGAGTTTAGGAAAAGTCTGAAGGAGCCATTGAACCAACTTTGTGATATTCTATTGGGTAAATAGTGAATGTCTCTATGGGTTTTAAAAAATAATGATTTTTTTTTAAAGGCAGAGAAGAGAGATCTTTCACCACTAGTTCACTCCCCAAATGCCCACAATAGCTGCAGCTAGGCCAGGCCAAAGCCAAGAGACAGGAACTCCATCTGGGTTTCCCACATGGGTGGCAGGGACCCAAATGTTTGAGCCATCATCTGCTGCCAGGGTGCCCATTAGCAGGAAGCTGGATAGAAAGCAGAGTAGCCAGGATTAAATCCTAGGCACTCCAGTATGGAAGGCAGGCATCCCAAGAGGTGGCTTAACCCATTGCAACCACAATGCTGACCCTTACCTTGATGGGTTAGAGTTAGCTGGGTTTTCAGTCATTTACACCCAAAGACTTAATAACCAATGGGAATGTTTCAGCTACAACTTTATCATGGAGGAGGCATTTTCTTGCCTAACAAGGAGCCCCAAGATATGAAGCTCCAAGGTTTCTATGGTGATTCTGCAGCAGCAGGTCTGTGGGTTGACTTGATGCGGGTCTCCAGGCCTTTCCCTCATGGTCACATCACTGCCACAGTTACAAGTATCCTGTCTTCACTCAAACTCTTTATAAGATAGAAAGAAAGAAGCAAGTTCTCCCTGCCTATCCTCCCCTTTGTATCTGGAGAAAAAAACTCCCCTCCAGCTCCTAGTAGCTATCTCAGGATCCCATTGCTGGATTACACAGCAAGACAGTCCGGGAGGGTCTGTTCTTGGCAGTTTAAGACTCTATCAGGAAAAGTGGGCTTTTCCAGTAAGTACTCTTTCTTCCAGAAAGGGCTAGACCATAGGATGGATGTTAAGTCAGCTGACAACAGATTCTGCTGCAAATAGTTTTTCTGTTATCAGAAAATCAGTACAATCATGCCGGGCATTGGGACATTCGGGTCAATGACTTACCACATGTACAATGTAGATCTCATAAGATTGTAACGAAGCTGAACAATTCTTATCATCTAGTGAAGCATCACAGTGCAATGCGTTACTCAAGTTGTGCTGCTGCTGTTGTTGTAAACAAACCTACTGCACTGTCAGTCGTATAAAGGTATAGCCTGTGCAATTATGTACTAAATGGCTGTATTACTGGCCTATGTGTTTACCATACTACACTTTTTAATGTTGCTTTAGAGCATATACCTTCTGTAAAACAGTTTGTCAGGTTCGCTCACAGGAATCTCACATATCTTGCGTTTACTGAGTCTCTTGATTGTATCAAGATGCCACAGCGAGGTTTTGGCCTATCCCATCTAGGTTTGTGTAAGCATTCTATGCTGTTTGCACAATGACAACATTGCCTAATGATGCATTTCTTGGAGCAAATCCACATCGCTCAGTGACCGCGGTTGTATTTCCCTACCAAGCTTTCCCGTCCCACCTCATCCCCAGTTGCCCAGGAACTCTAGGGGAACTCCGGCCACCCAAAGTGGGTTGGCTCTGCTTCCACACACCAGGAAGTGAGAGATCTAGAGTTGGCCAGTTCCGTGCTGGTGGTACTGTCCACTGACACATGGCTGGGAAGCCTGTCCTAGGTGAAGAAGTTCTAGAAGTGACAATCAAGCAACAACAGCTCGAAGCCACCCAGGAGGCTGGGTCCCTGCTCCCAAGCCCGCTACACCAGATTACAAACCTGTTGGGGTTGTAAGTCTTTCCTCCTGTGTTGTTCTCCACTCAGTCCTGCTCTTGGATCCAGGGCAGCCTTCCAATCCATTCAACACTG